TACTAAGTTACTGTAAATGCACACCACAATACATAATTATGCGTGCCTAGGATTCTGCAATATCATAAATTTATAGTTTTTGAAACTTAACTGACTCAGGAATTATTCTATATAGCTGACTGAGTGAAGTTTAAACCAAGTTTAAACCTCGTAAACCGGTCTACGTTACTACAACAGTTGATCGAAGTTATTATCAATGTCAAAAGTAAAGTATGAAAGATAGTTTATTAACTCTGTCGGACATATTTGATGAATAAATCTAAACGTAATAATTGAATAAATGTAAGCTACTCGAAATTTAAATTTATAAAACAAATTCTAATAAGAACAACGTGATACGGTTTTTTTAGTATTACCGTCTGACATGACCAAGTGAATAAACAGTCTACTTACTCTTATCATACAGCTCGGGAACACATGCGATGATAACACATAATCACACAAATGTCTTGACTTGATGATTACAGGAAAATAACGTGATAAAAAAGAAAAAAACATGTAAACTTGGACTTGCAATGACACACGACAATTCATACGTGATGGACTCACACTCGTCCTAGGTAGACGTACTACGAACTACTAAGGCGCGCCACTGTGCAGTGATACCACTCTATTAATTTATTAACCTGTCTGAAATGTGACATAAATATTTTCTTTAAAACTAAAGTAAAAGCTTTCATATTAATTTGAAATTCACAGAACGTAAATTAATAAAAAAAAAAATTAATTAAAACAATTATAATACAATTATACACAATTATAAACAAGTATAATGCCGTTTTGTCATAATTTATATCCTTGTTTTAGATTCAAACTATGCTGTTATATTAACGGAACTTATTTATGTAAATATGTTATAAAAATAAACAAAACAGTTTGATTTTTAAATTAATCGTTTTATCATGATACGCTATGCTAGTGAAAAATGTTTACGAATAAAGGTTAAGAATAATTTATTTCATTTGTATATATATTTAATTACAAGTTAAGCGTTTTTTTTTAAATTTAAATACGTGTATTCATAAATATACACAAGTTTCATATATTTAATGATGCGGTATAATTATTTACAATAGCAACAATTTTGTTACATTGATCATGGGAATGTATTTCATGGCGGGAACTATTTAAAAACACGCTGAAATACGATTGTTTTATTTTTTATTTGGCAGAAGAAAACAATATTTATTTATTCTGAATATCAAATATGCTTTTAACAACAACCTTCTTGTCGAATTTTTATACCCTTTTAATCAGTTCTGTTTTACAATTCTGTAGAAACACAGCTGTACGAAATTATCTGTCTCAAAAACACAATTGAGTAGTGTTACATTGGGGAATATATAACAGTCCTCCAAAATGCTATGAAAAATCTTGGAACAAAAAGGTCGTCTTCACTATCTATGGTCAACAACCACAGAACAATACAAATAAAAAATAACATCATAGAATTCCTTGATTAATATAGCTACGCAAACAGGTATCCTTTCGCAAAAGCCTCTCAAGGAATCGCGACAAGTGGCGATCTCTGAAGGAGGCTTTACCCGAAGAGGGGTCCAGTTCGCATGTATATTGGATTAAAAATATTATCTACACACATTATTATCCATACAAATGTGCATGCCAATGGAATAATAAAGGCTTTTTTATTTTATTAATTTATTTTACATTTTGGAATTAACTAATACCGTAAAATGTATTATTATTCTTTAGTCTGAGGTTATCTCAACCAAATATTGAAATAGATAGTTTCAAAATGATAATACACAAATATAAGATCAATAATACAGCACTTATTTCTGCAGACGATCATATCAATACTCGTTTTAATACCGAGAAAAAATCGAGATGTTGGCATTTTGAAAACTGATGAAAAACAATACATGTATTGAGGTGGAAAGGACATTGACGGTACTTACGGCTTACGGGGGTGTACTATGTACAAGCCTGAGGTCTAAATTAAAAGGATGCTAATCATTTAGTTATTTAACAATCAACTCTGAGGTCATTGATTACGATAACAACGACAGGAAACTTACGATACGTAGATAGATTAGTAATCTACTGCGGAATCGGAAGATCTAGCCAGACTCGATTCGGCTGTTTCAAGTTTTGAAATGTTCTCTACTCATGTATCCTTATGACTATTATTAAGTATTTTTAAATTGTTTATAGTGCTAATCTTTGCACTTAAGATTTGACATTAAAATATGTAGAATATGGAGATGCGCCAAGCATTGCTTCAAATGCTAAGAAACAATGTAGATAAAAGACGTTAAGATTTTCGTCGGTATGGCAATCAGCCGTTTAGCTTAGTGGCTAAAGCGTCAGGCCGCGAATGCCGAAGACGTGGGTTCGATTCTCACAGCGGCGACAATCTTTTCGTACTTTTTCTACATATTTTAATATTATTAAGAATGTTCAAATTTGGCATTTCTTAATAGAAAAGAATGGACTTTCTAAGATATGTGCATACATTCAAATTTTTACACAAAGTACGATTATGTGATATTATTTTATTAACCTGCTTTAAAGTCGCCAGTGTAACAGTGTAAGTTTCCGCAGATGGCGCTGAGCTCAGTGTCGCTCCATCTGAGTTTGTCAAAAGTTTACAAAGGCCGTATGAGCGAAAAGTTTCTTTTGCAGCACGTTTATTTTGTGCGCACTCAACAAAAAGCGGTTGAACATTATCTAGCTCTCAATGCCATGGCTAAACCATATCGGACTCATATGATCCACTGGATGATTCACCTGCCGATAAGTACATCAGACAAAAATAATAAAACTGTTGGTTGTCGAGGAACTGCACAATTAACCCTCAAAATATTGTGGTCCCTCATGGATGAGACTTGTGTCGCCTTTCTTAGTCTTTATAGGCGAAAGAGAGTTTTCTCTCTGTGACCCAATTTATCCTAAGGTACCGCATGTCTTTTGGATGTCAGTTTTCCGTATGGAAAGTACTCGTATGCTTGTCGAGGCTCTAAATTAAAATATATTTTTTCAATGTAGAAACATTACACTTACTTATTGATTGGCAAAATTATACTACTATCGGTTTGGAAAAGAAGTCACTGACCTGGAAAGAACCTGCGGAAAAAACTCACGAGACATTGCCGACCGGGTTCCCGCTTTGAAATTACTTCACTCGAGTCTTTTCATTTCAAACAATTCATCGCTTTGGGTTAAAGCTGGGCTATAGCTATAAGGAAATTCCATCCACTCCGATCAGGTTCCCAGCTTGTCGTGGCGGAGGGGCTTAGTAGTCGCGGCTTGGTCTTCAACTGCGAAGTCAAGAAGAACTGACGCTGGGCCGGCCTGTGGCGTAATTGAGCCTGTGGCGTAATTGAGCCCATGGCCCTCATTGAGCCCATTTATATTGAAGTTTTATTTCTTAACAGTGACTTCCCGTATTTTTCACATTCCATAATTTTATTAGACAAATAAGGTGTCTAATAAAATTATGGAATGTTGTAAGTGGTTTTGACTAGCTTTTTACTACCGGCCCCGCCTGCCTTAATGAATTAGTAATAAACCTAATTATAGCGGCTTATAAATTAATCACGGGATAAGTATCCAGTGTACTCACTCAAATGATAATGCGTACGTGAGATTAGAGTGACAATTTATCGACATATTTATTTATCAATTAGTCTTTAGGTTCATATACAGCGTGTCGTTACAACCACGACAATAAATGAACACACGTCTAATGCTACTTGCCAATAATAATAAAAATAGAAAACGTTAAAAAAATCCATATTTAAAACAATATATTTTTCAAACAAACTAATTAAATAAAAAGAAATAAAATTTGTAACATCGTATACAACTACAACTGACTGATTCATACATTCAGAGACTTTCATTCGTTGTCAAAACGTCGCATTACAAGTCTCTCATTCTAAAAGTATGTTTTATCTCTTTTAAATTCATTCAACCCATTCATATGCTTTGTGACCTTTACAAATGAACTTTACGTTACAGTTTTATACGTATGGTTGTTCTTTCAAATGTTTGTTTTGTAAAATATAATAACTCGGTAAATACTGATGCTCAAAGAATGTAAATGCTTAATACAATTTTAAAAAGTTATCCTCTATACGCTGTATAGTATGAAACTTATTACGTTAACAAAACAACTGACAAGGAAGGATAATGAATGAAATTGACAAATGATATTGTTTATTCCCAATTTTGTCTGTCCATCTCACGATTTTATCACCTTAGGATCAATGATTGACATTATCTTGAAAAAGACAATTATCAGATCACCTTTGTTCGAAAATATAGAAAAAAATATCTTTGAATCATTTCGCGATTTTTTGTTTCTCATTAAAGAAATACAGACTATTTTTAGGGTTTCGTACCCAAAGGGTAAAATGGGAGCCTATTACTAAGACTTCGTCTGTGTGTCTGTCCGTCTGTCACAAGGCCGTATCTCATGAACCGTGATAGTTAGACAGTTGAAATTTTCACAGATGATGTATTTCCGTTGCCAAACAACAAATACTAAAAAACAGAATAAAAATATTAAGTGGGACTCCCATACAACAGACATGACTTTTTGCCGTTTTTATAGATAATGTACGGAACCCTTGGTGCGAGAGTCCAACTCGCAATTGGCCGTTCTGTTGTCACTATCATTCGCGGGCCGAAATTGGAAGCACTTAAGAATAAAATATAAATAAATATTGTTCACACCATAATAAGCTTAATTAAAAGTATTCTTACCATCAATTTTAAGCTGAATGTAACATGAAAAAGAAAATGACATAAGAATGATCATCATATCTTTTTACTTATAAACTGAATGATTTTTTTTAACTTTAATGGTTAATTTAGTATAAAACATTGTTAGCGGGTTTTTGAAAATGAAACACCCTGTACACAGCCGGTTATTGGGTATCTCAACACGTAAAATACTGTGGATGCTAAATATAAGCACGACAAGAAAGTTCAGTTCAGTTCTTAGTGATCGACATAACGGTCTACACAGAGCCATGGCGATCAAAGCACTATGCCTCGCCCTCATCCTCGCGTGCGCTGGTAAGTTTTGGACAATTATTCCAAGTCACCATCTATTAGCCGTGATAGCTCAGTGTCCGGGCGTTCGCCTTTATTTTACGTTTACTCAAGCAACCCGAGTTCGATCCCCGGTGCCAGCACGAATGAAATTGTTAATTTTAATTGCTGAATTATCGCGTACTTGGCGGTGAAGGAAAAAAAAACATCGTGACAAAAACCTGCATATTTTCGAAATAATAAAAAAAAATATTTCGGAAATATGTGAAGTCCGCCAATCCGCAGTGGGGTCGCGTGATGGACTATGCCCTGACCATCTTTACAGTGGAGGCCTTTGCCTCATTGCAGTGGGACATTTATAGGCTGTTACTTTACTTTTTTTACCATCTATTACAGTCAGACTTGTCTTGGTTGCATGAGGTTTTTGCTTTCAGTCTTTCATTCTTAATTTCTTAGTCGACGACCCGGTAGGCATAGTGGATAGTGGACTTCTCTCTTGCGCCAGGTGTGGGATCGATCCCTACTACCAGAAAAATATGTGTGATGAGCATAGTGTCTACCTAGTACACATTAAAAACTATGATATGTTATATCATTTACAAAAGAAAATCACGTTTAAGTATGTTTATCAGTTACCTAGTAGTCATAATACAAGCATTGCAGTTTTTTTTTTATATGAAAAGTTGCCAAACGAGCAGACGGTTCACCTGATGTTAAGTGAATACTGCCGCCCATGGAGATTTGCAACACAGGGTTGCAGATGCTTCACGCCGGTCTTCTGTGAGGTCGTGGTACTTCCCCGGACGGACCTGCTCGACCTCAACGAGTCGAAGACTTGCGTGGCCCTATCACTGTAAATAAAAAAAAAACCATAAAAAAAACATCGACTAAGGTGGGCCTGTTTGACAGTAATTTTAGCAGAAAATTCGTACTGCACCTTATTAAAATTTCTTTCAATTACATCGGGTATTGATCATTTATTATATTAATCATTTAAATATAACTTGGTAGTTTTATCTAGAGTAGAAAAATTGCCAGCGCACATATTCTGAATTCGATAGGAATGAATAGACATTAGACTTTTACTGAGCTAGCTTTGTTCACCGCCGACGGCCACATGGATGTTTGCCATCTGTCGTAGTCTAGCTTCAGCTAGCACGAGAACACTCAAATTAATATATTCCTTAATTTAAACAGTAACAGCGGAACCTGACACCAGGCTCGCTGGCGGTACGCCCACTACCATCGAGGAGTTTCCCTACATCGTGGCGTTGGTGTATCGCTACCCTGGCGCGGGTATCACTGTTCAACGTTGCGTGGGATCACTCATCTCGTCCTGGCATGTGCTGACGTCAGCTTTCTGTTTCACGTGAGTGACAACACCGTGTTTTGCTGACGGTCCTACAAGCCACTTTACTCACAGTTTCACTCATCGTTTGTAACCGAGGGTGTCATACATTTTGATCTGAATCCGCAAAATTGATCATCAACACGAAAATCTCTGTATTGCGACACTCGAAAATTTTTAACTTCATTTTAATAATATCACATTGACTTCGTAACGAGATGAACCTTGAACTATATCTGCACAATGTGTCCGGCGCTCTGTACTTGACCTTCCCTCGACACTGGCAATCTGATCGATACTCGTTTACAGTTTTATTTTAAAAATTTTAATTGGTTTTTCATCATTTATAAGGCTTCGCAACGCAATTAAACGATTACTTATAATAAAATTTGAAACGGTTTGGGGAGATTTTCCTAGAACTTTTACATTACATTTTCATGCAACCAGTATATCGTAGTTGTTAAACCTAGTCTACTATAGTTTGTTAGCTCACCAAGGACACTCGTTTTTGCAGTGGCGCGGACTTAAGCAATATGGAGGTGCGCGCTGGCTCCACCAACAGTATGGCGGGCGGTTCCGTCGTCACAATTAGGGAGGTGACCCAGCACCCAGACTACCAGGAAACTCCTAGAAAGGCGGACATAGCCGTCGCGCTGTTGAACACTCCTTTCGGCATCACCGATTCCATCAACATTCTGTACCTGCCGCCTCCAGGCACCTACATCCCCGACGGAGGAAACCTCAGGATCGTCAGCTGGGGCTTCGAGTCTGTAAGTGAAATGAGCAATAGAAATATCTTTGAATCACAACAGCTGGGTCTACAATAGGGATTAATCGTTTTCTACCTTCATACGATTTCACAATGAAATAATCATACGACGAAATGTTTAAGCGCTTCAATGTGATAAGGACAAATATCGAATACGTCTAATAGATTTCCAAACTCAACAAAATTGTTAGCATTTTTTTTACATTCTTTGTCAGAAACAAATAGAAAGCTGTCCGTATAATATACATACATGTCATCGCTGACTTTTTTGTAGTCCTAATAAAGAGGAACAATTCCATCACAAATTGTTTTGTTATATTTGAAAAACTGACAGTCGGTTTAATTTACAAAACAATGATAATCTAACCTTTGCCTTAAATCTCTCCTTTATGCGTTTTATAAGATCTAAACGTACTAAATACGCGTTTTATAAAATCTAAAGGCCAGACGGCGGGAATTTATCGATCGATATCGAAATTATTTTATACTGTAATTATTAACAAACAAAAGTATGTTTTAGTACTAGTAGCCGTGGTGTAAAAATGGGTCAGAGACCAAGAAATTTTAGTTGCTGCTCTGATCGTTTAGTTGTTGTATCATAAATAAACTCTCTTTGTAGATACAAGGGCCGCAACTGGAGACCCTGAAGACGATCAATCTCCGCAAGGTGCCTTTGGAAGAATGCGAAGCAGCCTACGTCGATTCAGAAGCTGTCGCTATTGGAGATGGTTGGTATAGAATAATTGTTTTGGGCTGTTTTTGGTTTTACATTTAATTTATTGTCATATTATTTCTTGTATACGTTTTCTCGTAAACATATATATATATATATATATGTATACTATATACTATAATACTATATACTATAATACAGTACGCTGTTAAAATATCCTCCGACATTGTGTTTTAGTTAATCATTTTCTTCAGATATGTGCCTCAGAGGCTTTTAGATCACATTTCGTCCATTCACAGAGGTGATCTGCGCGGCGGAGGAGGAGAAGAGCCTCTGCTTCGGTGACTCCGGCGCGCCGATGGTCATCGGGCGCACTGTCGTCGGTGTATCGTCCCATTTCGAGGACTGCAGCAGCGAGGTCTACCCCAACGTGTTCACCAGAATCGACCGCTTCACGAACTGGATAATAAGCGTGGCGACGCCGCCCTCCGGCGCCTCTGTAGCCACCGCTTCTGTCCGGGTCGAGCCTGTCGTGTACTAATTGTTTAAACTGAAGTCAAAACGTTCGCGATGATGTCGATCATTCTCGAAGAGTTCACGTCATTTAGTCATGTATTTTTTTTCTATCGTGTAGTAAATTATTTGGCAGGATAAAGATTGTATTTGACGCTGCGATACAGAGTGCACAACGCGTCTCATCCTTTCGGAATTTCTCTCTTTCGACCCACTGGCGATTGTTGAGGCGACTGAAATGTATTGTTGGTAATTGTCATGAATTGTACGTGGAAAATGTTATTTGTACAAAAAAAATCAACCTATACAAAGATCGTTTTCTTTAGCCATGCCTTTGGTTCGTTACTTTTAGCCATAGAATGTACCTATACATTTGAATGTATGTTCTGTGGGGCCTCTGGAAGAATTATTCATAATTCCAATTGGGTGAATTCTTCTGCTTCGTTTTGTTTATGGCTTGCTTTGTAAGTTATCACAATTCGGCCGATGTCTGTTGTTGTTTAAATTGTTCTTAAAATTCTCAATTTTATAATATTCACATTAAAATTATTAATATAATAATTTTAATATTAAAACTAAAATTATTAGAAAAGCGGCATTTGAATATGCTGAAGACTTAAAACACAATTTTAATAAGTTTTTGAAAATGGCTGGACGTGACTGGTTGTTGTCTTTTGCCTTGCAGGCAAGATCACGCCTTACGAAGTAGCATCCCTATTGCGGAGGACATTTAATAACGTTTCACCTATTAGTAAAGGGGAATCGGGACTTAGCTTACTGGGGCTTTTTGAAAAGAATTTTCTGCCAGCCGAATGGCTCCAATCGGAGACTAAACTATGATGAGACAGATGCTATTGATGACCCAGCACCAGGTCAAGGAGAATCATCAATAATTGGCTCAATGCATGTTGGTTCACTGTCGCCACCATCGCCAATTTCTAGCGCAGTTGATTGACCAGGCCCTGGCTCATCAGTCTGCGAGCTGGGATATGTTTGCGATTTGTGTTGGATTTTTATTTGATCCTCATAGCCCACAAGGTGACCACATTTACCATTACACATTACACTTACCAATGGGAGTCAAAACTGTTTTCTTTTTTGCCAAAATTAATTATATTAATGTCATCACTATTGATCTCAAACGATAGCTAAGCAAGTAAACTTTGTTACGAGGCGGTTGCAATAAAAATTCTGTTTCAAGCTTTTTTATAACTTCAATTTTCGCTTAAGTGACCCCCATTACCCCTTTCTCCTATATAGACAAAAAAATCGAAAACTATTTAGATTCTTAAATGCTATTGTTAACGGTTTATTTAAAACACCTGAAATTATAGGTAAATGTCAAAGTTATTATTGGTCGCTTTATAACCAACTTCACTGCGCTTTTTGACGGTTTTTGTGCGCGCGCATATTAAAGTTTTACTCTCATATTTTTTTGAATCGCGCCAAAAGCAGAAAAACTTTAGAAACTTACCCGTAACCTAACCTTCACGCTCGATGACGATCAAATTGTACGTTCTCCTATTTCCGCCGTCCGAAAGTCGAAAGAACCGTCAGAAATAATGGATCGATTTTCTGGCGACCATCGCTTTAACCTTCTGAACAACCTCCGATGATCACAGTGAAAATCGCGGCTAAACCATCACATAGTAAATTTTTTTATATACTGAAAACTGTACTGTAAACCATTCACGATATGATTAAGTAAGAGCAAGAAGAACCTCCTTCTGGTTTTGGTCAGCTTATTTAGGTACATACCTTCACTAAACACGAACCACACTCTCGACTCATAGAAGAATTTTAAATAAAAGACACTTTCAACTTTTGTAATCAAAAATATATTTGAAGAGAAACCTGTATTCATAGACCCAATTATACATAAACTATTGCTAAGTTATTAATCAAATTCTACGTAACAAAAATCATTATAATTAAATAAAAATAAAGACCTAAACATTCGAAACTATCAAAATCATTACACACGTAAGTGGAATAAGTTACAACCTTCAACAATGTATTAGGTAAACCAGTTTTGAGTATGTAATATGTATAACTTATATTAGTATTAAAATCAGGATGGCGATGGCGTTGGGGGGTGGGGGGTGGGGGGTGGCTGGGTGTAGTACTTTTATGCAACAAACGCAAAGCAAATTCTTAGCTCCAAACAATGTGCAAACACTATGAAAGTCATTCAGGGCTGTACCAACATATAATGGGGGTAAGATAGAAAGCGATATTGGCTGCCGCGCGAACGGCAGAACGATATGAGAATCATTTCCACCCATTAACTTTACACTTGGAAGAACATTACAGGTGCATTGAAGTATTGCGTGTATTAAGTAGAATATGAGAAGTTTGGATTATATAAAGAATGCAGGTTCATGTCAGAAGGTTTATTGGGATTGAAGAAAGAATACAAAGGATAATACGGTAACCAGTATAAAATTAATAACACTGCAATCCCTTCTATTGTTATTATTTCTACGGCTATTTATCAAATCCACGCCAAATATGTACTATATAATTTAACGTAATTCAAACTCAACAGGATCTAAAGGTCATCTTTGGATGGTTTTCCCATTAGTTCTGAATAATTATGGACGTAGGGTAAGGCAAGACAACGTTTATTAATTTAAGGCACTAATGTATTGCTTTTTATTCTACTTAATTATAAGATAATCATAATTAAATAAGCTTATGCTACTTCAGACATAGTCTACTTCCTTCTCTCGGTGGTCCGTGTTCAATATTATGTAACTTACAAAGTTATTAATATCACTGAAGGGATTATGGTCAATCCATTACTCACCTCCGCGATTATATCAAGAAATCTTTCTATATACGCATTTTAAGAACATATACATAATTATAAATAGTAAAACGATAAAGATTATAGTAACGTAATCCATGAAGCGTTTGCCGTAGGGACTTTGGAATACTGTATCCAAAGATTTATCGCCAAAAAAAGTAAATATATTTATTTTAAAGATAGCAGTTAGTTGCTTTACCGATCGACACACTGAGCAGAATTATGTGTGATGTCAATTTAAGTCATCGATAAAGATATATCATTAAAACCGAATAATTAACAACATTATTTTGCCATGCGAGTCTATTTTTTAAAAAAAAGGCAGCTGAGGCAGCTGAAATCTCGCGACTTAAAGTACATAATATATGTAACAACAGTGCCTGTACAATTTATAACTGACTTGTCAAACAAAAACAAGTCTTGATCGAACAGAATCATCCGAAACATTACAAAAATTGAGTCATTCCCAAATGATGCTTAAGTAAGTAATAATAGATTTATTTGCTTATATTAATGCCGTATAATAATTCAAACTTAAAAAAATATCAGTAGTTACCACATAATCTTTTTCAAGTATATATGTCGCACTTATGTAAATAGCTTATTTTATCTTGCTCTTTATTTACAGATAACACAATTCTTGCGGCGCCAAACAGTATCAACATTTAATGAAAGAAAATTCCTTCAAATAAAATTGCAAAAAGTATCTTATGTTATAAAGTGAGTATAGTATAGTGTGTGGTTAGTATTAATGAAGGAATTAAAACATCAAAAAAATTAATAATTGACTCAAAAACTACTATTGTGTACGTAAAATATGTCTGTAAAATTTGGACGGAATTTTAATTGATGAAGTATATTTATCTTTATATAATTATTTCGGAAATATTCTAATCTAATAATATTATAATCAGAACATACAGAATTCAATTATTTATGTTATAAAGGATCTTTTTATATCAGTAGCTTTTGAAAGTTAAAACAAAAAATAAATCAGAACAAATCTCTTGACATGTTATTGGAATCTTAATTGCTACACATAATAACACGGTATGTGAGCATTCCACTGAGCTATAACTGAAAAATAATAATAGGCTACCATCTGTATTCCTAATAAATACGGTAAAATATTATACATTACTAAATAAAAAAACACCTTATGCAAAATATTTTTTATACCTGTATTATCAAAAATATTTTAAACTAAATAATAAGCAATCGAAAACTATCTAAATAAAGAATTATTCAATAATGGAAAAGAATGAACCTAGTAAAGAGACTGCACTATACATGTATATTGTTAAAAAAACCTCACATTTTTTTTAAATGCGAGTGATAGCTCAAAGGTCAGATATTTATATTTCATATAATTATTGCATAAACAATTTGTCACGTAGTATTATTAAGAGATAAGGCATTGTGTGATTTCTGGGTTATAAAGAAAGTATTGATCAAAAAGTTTGTAAAACTCTGTCATAGAAATTTGGCCCCATATTTGTGACGTATCTATGAGTACAATTTGTTTTACTAAATGTAAACAGTTGAAAGTGACAATCAGTGCTTTCCCTATACTTTCATTTATTCTATTATATAGTGACACTGTGAACAAATAACACTAAATACAGCAACAAAACGAAATTGACGTACAAATAAAAGTTACAAAACGACAGGTAATTAAAGCTATCCGACACTACGCTACTGTATTCTTCAGCAATCGAGTTCGATATACTAAATCTAACATTTAACTTGAAAACATACCTTACGATACTATTTTAACTAGTCCCATTCAAATTACACCTGTTTAAATATTTGATTAATTCAAACCGTTACTCTAGTAAAGGTGACACATTATTTTTTGAGTAGATTACTTGCGACGGACTTTTTTGTGATCATGATAGTTGCTGTTGACATAGGCTTCCATTTTGAATGATCTGAAAAGAAAAATAAATGTGAGTGGTCAAAATTAAGGAACAAACTAAAGATACATACCTACATTTTTTATCTTATATTATCCATCTGTTGAGATTGTATTCATTATATGGATTCATCGTTTGTATTTTTTACGAAAGGGGTTGGTAAGTCCCAATAATCCCTATGAACGAGAATATTTACCGTAGTCTTTTTCTTTGAAAACATTGCTCCCTTACCATACGATAACATTATCCTGTGTTGTAAGAATGTTTTATATGAATAAATTTTATGTGGACGAACACCCAGATTCGAAACATTTGTCTATGCGTCACACAAATATTTGACTGGTGTAGGAATCGAAGCCACGACCCCCGGCGACAAAGCCTATGCGATACCTTGCCAACTGCGCAACGGATTTCATTTAAGTAATGAAGGTGCAGTCGCGTCAGCATGCATGGAGGTTTAATGTAAGCAATGGGAGTGGTAGTAAAGAGCCACATGTCAGCATGCACGTGATGGGGCGGGTCGGCGGCGTCAGTAGTAGTGAAGAGCCACCTGTCAGCATGCGTGCGGGCGGTCGGGGTGCGGCGCGGCGGCGGGGGCGGGCTGCGCGGGCAGCACGGTGAGCGTGACGGCGGCGCCCGAGCGCTTGATGAGCGCCACCACCTCGGGGTGCGGCAGGTTGCGCACCGGCAGCCGGTTGATGGCCACGATCGTGTCGCCCACCTGCAGCCGGCCGCAGCGCGCCGCCGGCGAGTTCGGGATCAGCTGGCCTGCGGGCGGCGTCTACACTCTTACGTATCCCGTTCTTAAGCTCGCAACATTACAAACGCTTGTTAACACTATAATATACAGCGTGTCGTTACCATCGCGACAATAAATGAACACACGACTAACGCTACCTGCCTATAATCATAAAAAAATATTAACGTTAAACAAAATCCATAATTAAAAAAAATATTTTTCAAACAAACTAATTAAGTAAAAAAGAAACAAAATTTGTAACATACTAAACGACTACAACTGACCGATTCATACATTCAGAGACTTTTTCATTCGTTGCCACAGCGTCGCATTACAAGCCTCTCCTTCTAACAGCCATTCATATGCTTTGTGACCTTTACAAATAAACTTTACGTTACAGTTTTATACGTAAGGATGTTCTTAAAAAAATTGTTTTAGAAAATTTAATAACTATGTAAATATTGATGTTTAAAAAATGTAAAAGCTTAATACAATTTTAAAAAGTTATCCCCTATATGTGTGTTCATTTATTGTCGCGATTGTAAATTGTAAAGACACGCTGTATATGTTACCTATACATATTCACATATACCTAAGTACCCCGTACACATACCGAAATCGACCTACAGCGAAGTGTCCAGCGATTACGAAAGTTCATTCATGAATTATGCGATGCATTGTACGTTATTCCCGTGAAAGTGTCGACGGTGTAAATTCAGGTATCGTGGGACAATCAAACCTGTATCGACTAACTGATCTCACTCAATCGGCGTAGCGGGAGGTCGTTCCATTTAGAATAAGTTAATATTAAGTATACATTGTACTTCTTGGCTATTAAATATTGTAAAGAACAAAATCGCCTTTTAAAAACTCCTACCCAACGGCCGAATGCGTATCTTATATGAAAACACTACAGATGTCACTTCAAACACTATACATGTCAACATGTTATATCAAACACTATACCACATGTGGACATGTGATATAGTTTTACACTGTTTTAGTAAATCGTACCAGTAAGTACGTGGATTCAGAGAATGTTACTTGTCATGAAAAATTAAATCCACAAATCCTCTTTGCGAGCTCATAATGAGCTTCATTCTTAGTTCTTTCTGTTCCTTCATCCGACCTAGGTGTTGTGAACCATGTTTTAGTAGTATTGGCTAGGTTTTACCACCGACCACGTGGCCGACGTCAACCCTCTTCGGAAATGAACACCCAGATGCAGAACATACATGTGCGGGTCACACAAATACTTGTCAAACCGAACCCAAGACTATCAACGCCTAAGCTAATGTCTTATCAAATGCGCATTAGACACATATCCATTATTAATAAATAATTGTAACATATTTATTCGCCTTCGATTGTAATTACACATGTAATTAGTTACACAATCCAATGTGATCGTTTCGCACCTATAGTGCTGGTTGCCTTGTTAGTGGAGGATATGACGACGAATCCGAACCCTTCACCCTCGTTCCTGGTCACCGTCACGTCGTAGGGCACCGGCGACCAGCCGCCGGAGACGTTGTCGTACTGCACGCCGTACCTGAACAGACGTGCATTTAATATTCCGCTTAATTAAATCGATTTAAATTGTGAATTTTTGGCAGATAATGAAAAAAAAAAAAAAAAAAACGGATTCGAGCCTGCGTTCTCAAATGCCTGTGTACGTCTCTTCTATTGAATTTTTATGGGACGATGGCAATCGAGCTGGCGCGTGACGGTGTTAGTGATAACCGCCGCTCATGGACATTTGGAACACCTGTAGGCTTGCAGATGCGTTGCCACCTTTTAATAAAATGGGCCTCGGCTACCTCACTCAACAGATGGTCTTCTGTGAGGTCGTGGTACTCTGACGGACGGACCTGCCCATTTGTGCAAGAGTGAAGGCTGTTTACTACTAGAGTTATAATAAACTTTTTGGTTTTTTCACTTGGGAAAAGGCTTAACTTTGGTAAAAGTGAAAAAGATTTAATGCTGGCACATAATAGGAGACAGACATAAAGTATAAATCCGCTATTCACACTCTGGTTAGGCATTATGAAATCGAGGTGTTTGATATTAAATTGGATAAGTACCATTCACGCAGTTAACAATGTAACAAAAAAACTTGTAACATATCTTTATAATAACAAGGATGGCTATATAATGATTATTGCCTACGTTTTTAAGTGCTTGCGTGTGACGTGTCTATGCATAAAATACTATATTTTGTAGATAGGAAACTTACATAGGCAAAGCCGGTGGGTACATTGGAGAAGGATGCAGAATGTTGTACGAGGCGGGTTGCATATGATGCACTGATGGGTCGGCTCTAGAAATAGATACAAGTGTTAAAAATGTGTGTATACAATAATAGAAGAAACATCTACAAATATTGGCAACTATTAAATAACGTAAAACCGCTTATTTTGGACAGATATATACATGAGAAATAAAACATACTGAAAAATATAATTGAAAGAAAAATAGAAGGAAAACGGGGAAGAGGAAGAAGATGAATAACATGGAGTGACAATTCGAAAAAATGGACAGACAACAAGGACACCGTAAGTCTGTTTTTCTAGAGATTCAATAATTTCCCAAATTATGTTGAGCTTGTAATTATACTAAATTAACAATTGGCTTTGTAATATTAATTTATCTACATGAATATTATTATGAAAGATATGAAAAATAATTTATACAATACTGGTGGTATCTACGTAAGGATTACTACGGTATGGATAAATAATTATCAACACATTAGCCTTATATCCCCGTAATTAACACACATTAATTTCCCTAATATTTAAAAAAGACATTAATTATAAAAATACACTAGCATTAGTACTCAAAAAGGGTAAAAAGCATTGCTCACGTATAATATATAATCGGTCTTGCTTTGGTATCCCACAGAATTATTAAACTAAATAATAAAAAAAAATGATATTATTAAAAAAGCCCATAAGTTTCAAACAATCATTATTTGTGTCATTTTTAAGACATTCAACAGGGTAGTTGTAACTAAGACACAGGTCTCACGAGTCAACATCATTTATTAATTTGATCTACATAAAATGGATGATCATATAGCATACTTTAAAATATATCATTTAAAATAATATTTAAAGGTATTAAGTCCGCCAATCTGCGGCGGGTCGCGTGGTGGATGTCCTAATACCCTCTGTATAGGGCATTTGCCCAGCAGTGAGACATAATGTATAGCCTATTACTTTACATTTACATTACTTTGTAATAAAAAGGAAGATACTGAAGTATCGAAGTTTTCGAAGCATTTCAAATTATGTACTTACGTGAGCAAAGGCTGGTGGCTGTGGGGGGTCACCATGTTTGGCAAACCCAACGGCTGGATGTCAGCCCTGTTGTGCCTTACACCTAATGTTACCTGAAATGCAGAATAACAGCATAGTAAAATTGGGCCCAATGTCATGTATACTGTGATGATGAATGATGTAAAATAAAGGCCAACCAATAAGTAAATAACTAGCCACAAGTAACCTATAAGGATAGTCGATAGATGATTATCATGATGGTACCAAGTATGATAATTGTATAATACTAGCTTTTCGCTCGCGTTGAAGCCCTTAAATAAATCTCTATCCCCTTTAAGAACCTTGTCCTTTCTCAGGCTCTAGACTATCTGTGTACCAAATTTCCTTTAAATCGGTTTAGTAGTTTTGGCGTGAAAGCGAGACAGACAGAGTTACTTTCGCATTTATAATATTTAGTATGGATATATATTTTTACAATTTTCTCCAATCTCATAAATAGCTATTGAGCGGGTAAAAGTTTTTCTGATTTAATGTGGACTTACTATTATAAAGTAAATGACCAGTAGGTATTCATATAAGGAAATACATAAGAAAGGCAATTACTTTTAAAATAGTTATGTAAGGGGTTGAGTATTCACATAATGGTGAATCTGAATATATTCTATTAAAGTAGTAAGTATCAAAGACAATATATAAAATGTCTAAATAAAATATACATCTCAAAGAAATCAGTGTTTTTTGGGATTGGGCCGGCTATCTTTAACAAGTGGTATACTGACAAATCGACCGGAAAGTGTTCAAAAGGCTTGGCAGATTTGACTACCAGTGAGACTAAAAAAGCTGGTAAAGTAATATGAACATTGGCCATATGTGATGGATCCTGCCTTATAATGAGACCATATCAATGTAAAAATTGTTTGCTGTAAGCCACAAAACAAGTTGTAATAACATAAAATTATAAATTTTAAGTGACCCTACTTTAAATAAAAATTCACCATGATCGGTCCATTCCTTTAGAAGCAAGCCACATACAGACACACAGAGGGACATGTCAAACTTTAGCACTTCTGCTTTTATGTCGGGGGCAAGACTCACGTGTCCCCTGGAGGCGGCCTGGGACACGTAGGCGACGGCGCGCGCGTGCGTGGCTCCGGCCAGGGGAATGCCGTCCACGGAAGTGAGCAGGTCCCCGGGCCTTAGCAGTCCGTCTGCCGGCCCGCCTGGAGAAAAGTGTGCTAGATTTATATAACTCTAAATTTGTAAATTGTGATTTGTTTTCACTTTCACAAAATCAAATTAAAAGAATGGTTACAAATGAAAATTATTTGACAGATCGAAAATTATAAAACTAAATGATATCGAAATTTAAACTTCACCCGCAGACTTCCCGGTATTCCATCAAACCGTGGTACTTCCCCATGTTACCGAATACTTCTACTTCACGCCGTGTTACCTTCCCGGACGAGCCTGTCCGTTCACAAAGAAAGAAGCTTCCAGAAGGCGATAGTCCGTACCGGGGACTACATATCCGACGGCCACTCGGCTGCCGTCCTCGGTGCCGCCCACGATTCGGAACCCGAAGCCGGCGCTGCCTCGCGCCAGACGCACCAGCACGTCCGCCTCGGGGTCGATGGCCCCGCCCGCCTCCACCTGCGATAATAGACCGGCAATCATTTTTAGGGCTCCGTACCCAAAGGGTGGAACAGGACCCTATTATTAAGACTCCGCTGTCTGGCCAACTATCACCAGGCTGTATCATGATAGATAGACAGTTGAAATTCTCACAGATGATGTTTCTGTAGCTACTTTAACAACAAATATTAAAAAAAATAATATACAACTTGGCGTTACTATCGCGACCATGAAAAAACACGCATATAGAGTATAACTTTTTTAAAATTGTATTAAACATTTACTTTTATTAAACATAAACATTTATGGAGTTATATAATTTTCGAAAACACGTAATTTTAGAACACCCCTACGTATAAAACTAACGTAAAGTTCATTTGTAAAGGTCACAAAGCATATGCATAAGCAATTTGGTTGAATGAATTTAAAAGAGATAAAACATAACATTAGAAGGAGATACTTGCAATGCAACATTGTGGCAACAAATGAAAAAGTCTCTGAATGTTTGAATGCGTCGGTTGTAGTTGTGTAGGATGTTGCAAATTTTTTTTTTATTTAATTAGTTAGTTTGATTTTTTTTAATTATGGATTTTTTATGATTATTGGCAAGTAGTGTTAGAAGTGTGTTCATTTAAGGTTGTGGTTGTAACACCATACTGTATACATTACAAATAGATTGTAGAATTTATAGACTGTTAGTTTACACACCTGCGGGTAATTGCCAACATAGACTGAGCTCGGCTGCGCCAAAGAATCGCCCTCGTAGCAGGACGGCGACTGCCGCAACACTGGCGAGTTCATGTGGCGGGAGGGAGAATTGTCTCGCAGTCTGAAAATCAATTTGGTTATTAAACAATTACTTTAAAACTGACATGATTGAGTTCATATCAAAGTCTGTGTAAAGTATTTCTTTGATTGACTTATGGTACTTAGGCGATAAGGTTTTTCAATCTTCTTTTATCAATAATGAACTGGTCTGGTTCAGCTTCTTAACATATCTTCTCTCATTTCTATCTCGTTACTTAGTACTAACACCCTAATAACTCAGTATCTATACGCTCACATAGTATATTAGAGCCTCCTCAGCTGAAATCCTACTGTTGGTACCAATGCAATTTGATGATGATTTATTTGGTGCTTGGTGGTGAAGGAAAACATAGTGTAGTTTGCCAGTCAGCAGAGCAGTCGGTCTTTATTTATGGTAAATTACCACAGTTCATTATTATACTGATGTTGTAACAACAAAGTCACATTTTTTTATTTGATAAAAAAAATAGATTTTCAGTTAAATATTTAATGTATAATGCAAATAGTAACCTGAGCGGAGATCCTTTGATTCTGCTGTTCGAGGAGTTGTTGGAAGGCGACTGGCTGTGCAGCGCCGACGGCGAGTTGCTCAGCAGGCGTTCCGTCGCACTGTTGTTAGACGGGGAGTGGCTTCGAAGCCGGCCTGTTTGAACATTTATATTATTATTTGTTTTTGATTTTAATTTCGGTTTTCATTCACGACGTTACCAACGTGCCAAACTATGGACGGTTTAATGATCCAAAAGTGGAGAAAATAAAACAAAATGAAAGGTGAACAAATCCGTATTAAATTTTTATTTAACAATGTGTAATCTTTATTATAGTTAAAAAACGTGGTGTTCTTAATCTTTGTCCGTTACTGTTCTTTAAATAGTAATTAAAGCATTGTATACAAAAGGATGGAGAAAGCTTTATCACCTGTGGAGTTTGAAGGGGAATGTGGTCGAATTCTGCTGGTGGAAGGCGACTGGCGCGACAGACCCCCGATCGCGGCGGTGGTGGGCGAATGCAGCATACCGTCTTCTGGAAAACCTAACGAGAATTGAATATTGTGAAGCTGATTATAATGAGATTTACAGCAGCAATGCTAATAGATATTAGCTAAGTTGCCGGATTGTTCTAGTTAAATAAAAAAAATCCTGCTCTTCAAAGCTCATTATTCGAACTCTATAAAATAGCGCAGTTGAATAACTGTGACTATTTACTATACAGCGTGTCGTTACCACCGCGACAATAAATTAACACATATATAGAGGATAACTTTTTAAAATTGTATTAAACATTTACGTTCTACAAACATCAATATTTACCGAGTTATTAAATTTTCCAAAACAAACAATTTTAGAACACCCTTTCGTATAAAAACTGTAACGTAAAGTTCATTTGTAAAGGTCACAAAGCATATGAATGGGTTGAATGAATTTAAAAGAGACAAAACATACTGTTAGAAGGAGAGGCTTGTAATGCGACGCTGTGGCGCGAGTTATATAGGATGTTACAAATTTTGTTTCTTTTTAACTCAATTAGTTTGTTTGGAAAATATTTTTTTTTAATTATGGATTTTGTTTAACGTTAATATTTTTTTATAACTATTGGCAAGTTTTTATAACTATTTATTGTCGCGATGGTAACGACACGCTGTATAAGGAATATTTTTTTAAAAACCTCCATGCCATTAATTTTTTACCCTCACCAGAGCATCATGCTTTACAATTAAAGCATGATGCTCTGGTGAGGGTAAAAAATATAGTAACATTATGGACAGTCACTTTGATTCGGAATAATTCTTTACCCGATATTAAGTGATAATAAGTGGACCTATGGACATTTGCAATACCATAGTAGTGATAACAAATGTGTCGCCACTTTTCAATAAAGTGGATTCGGAAGTATAACACTTGCACTGAACGTTGGTCTTCTGTTAGGTTGTGGTACTTCCCTGGAGGGACCTGCCACTTCGTGCAACAACGAAGACTGCAGCGTGGCCCTGCCACAGTCAAGGCGGGTCACTCGCTGTACACACCTCCGTTATCGCTGCTGTCCGCCACGCTAGCGTTGCCCCGCCAGTACGCGGCATTCATGTCCACGTGGACTGTGGGCGTGGGCACCTCGCCCCAGTTGCCGTTGCCCCACCGCTCGGCGTCGCCCTCCCAGCCGTTCCCGTTGGCCGCGCCCTCGCCCCACTTCTGCCCGCCGCCGTCCCACTTCTGCCCGCCCTCGTCCCACTTCTGCGCGCTCTCCGCCCAGCTGCGCACGTTGCTGGCGTTGTCCACCCACGTCTCTTGCTCCCGCCACTGGCCCTCCTGCTGGGGCCAGGGCGCCGTCACGGGCAGCGTGAGCCGCGCCCCGGGCGTGCTGCTCCTCCGCCTGCGGTCCATCAGGCTCTCCCTGGACTCGCGCGACTTGTGCTCCGGTACGGCGTACGTCGCTTCTGGCAAGCAAAAGGACGGTATACGAATAGCTATAGACCATACTAGCTTTTCTTAATATAAGATAAGGAAGTTAAAAACATTAGTACACTTATGGCTGAAGAATATTACCTATTACCATCGCGCAATATCTTGCCGACGCCAATGTGTGGAGTTAATTTTGTTGATACTCACATAGGCTGGAATAAGACTATTAAGCCTGTACCATTACACTGTAAACTGACCTTTTTTAAAATGAGCAACTGTTGAGTTTCTTGTTTGTTTCTTCTCAACAGAAGTCTCAACAGTGTGGCGCTGGTTAACTCACCCACCGCATATAAATATTAAACCTAACGTAAAGCACTTGTTCTTTACTAACTCTTGATAAATAGCAAAGACAAGTACCAGTGTTCATTCCGTTGAGCCTGTCGCGCAGGTTGTCCTGCGAGCGGAGTTGCTCGGCCGTTGGCGTCTTGCTCCTGCCCAATTGGCCGCTATTCGATGGCGCTGTAAAAGCGAATACGAGTTAGATTTCCACTCTACAAGTTTTTAGACATTTGAAGGATGGCCCATTTTACTAAGCTAAATAATAATTGTGTAAAAAAATCAATACATTGTATTTTTTAGGTCTTCTTTTCAATATGTTTATTTAAAATGCATTCATAAATAAATTTTACTATATTGTGACGGCAAGCGCAGCGTAGGAAGGCCTCCCACAAGGTGGACGGACGACCTACCCAAGATAGCGGGGATGCGTTGGATGCAGGCCGCTAACGACCGGTCGGAGTGGAAGTCAATGGGAGAGGCTTATGTTCAGCAGTGGACGTCCTACGGCTGATATGATGATGATGATGATATTATTCAATAAGAAAGATCAAATGGCAATCATTAAAAAGACCGTAACACGCCTCTTAGAAGGTATTCTATGAACTCTGGTCTCTAAAAGGTACTTACGATTTTTATACTGTTTCAATTACGATAACACTATTTCAATTACGTACTTTTTATAAGTAAATTTTAAATTAGCCTTGAATCAAAAGTTAAATGGATTTTGCTAACTAGAAATTAATTTAAGTTTTGTTAGAGGACAGTGGGCTACTGGTAATAATAAACAACAATATAGGATCAGGAAACCGATCGAGGAAGGGAAATACTAGTGCATTTATTCTCTAGACTTGGCTCTGTCGGATTACGTCTAGTCGCATACATTGGGGTTAGGTTCATGCTGAACAACGCTTCAAATCGCATGAAAGTCTAAGAAAATGGCTTTTTGACTGGTTCGCTTCAAATGAGGGACTGCTTAGATAGCATTTGAGATTATTTCGAATATTTTCAAACAACAATGCTGCGATCAGCCTTTGAAAAGTTAGTAGCCCTAAGCAGGGCGGTCCCCTCACCGGCGGAGGGCTGCAGGCGCGTGGCGGACCTGCTCCTGGGGGCGCGCCCAACCGCCCCGTTGCGCCTCCACACGCGCAGGGTCGTCTCGTGCAGGGCGGGGCAGTCCTTCAACACCTGGAACAGCATTCAAGTTTTTTTTACAATTCAAAACTGGCCAGCACTTGACTGCCATCCCATCTAAGCCTGAGCCTAAGTGGCGATACAACTGTTGGCGGTAAGCGCGCTATCTCAGTAAAAACCTATTTATCATTGCCTTGAAATAGCCTACATTGTAATCAGGCAAATAATAAAAGGGATGGAAATAACAAAAAAGAAGGAAGTTCAATGCAAAATTGCAGTTCAGAGCAGAACTTCAAGGATGGTTCATTTAATTATTTATTTTGAAAGTGACAGAAACACATAATACACAAGTCTGTAACCCACTTATAACTAAACAACATTCACTAATCATAGACATAAAATCATTAATATTATTATTGTCTAAAGATTTTGCATTTAAGAAAAGGATTAATATGTAATAGTTAAGGGGATAAAATACGAGATAAGTGAGTAGCACGTACTATTTCGTTTCCATGACCTTGATAAATATAAGAATCGCTTATGTGATCATTTTTTACAGGGTGGCAAGTAAGGACGCGGTTCACTTGATTCTAAGCGATAACCGCCGCTCATGCAGTCAGACGAAAATTTCTTTATTCAATATAGGCTTATTTTAAGCTATTATTAAACCTCAAAAAAACTACCACAGGATCAAAAATCAAAAATATATTTATTAAAATAGACGCTTGCGCGCTCTTATGAATCGTTAAATTTTACATCAAAGATTATGTATATAGGTTCGTAAGGTACCACCGGTTCGGAAAGCGGTTTCTGTTGCGAAGAGACCGGCAAGAAACTCAACAGTTGCTCTTTTTCAAAAAGATCACTAAACAAGACCTGCCCCGAGAAGAACCGTCAAGAAACTATGGGCTTTTGTTATCTTTAATTTTTTAAGTATACGACATTGACATTGAAATTTGCTACACACAGCGACCAATGCGTGCGCACGATTTCATTACCTGCACAACGTGCTGGTGCGGAGCGTGACGAACATCGACGTCACCGATTTGCAGAAGCAAATCACCTTCCCGTAGCCCAGCGCATCGGCTGCGGTCCAGGACCTAATAATATGGACAATGGTAGAGGTCTCATATATTCTTGCCTTTGAAAATTTTGCATTTTAAACAACTACGAGAACATTCTGATTATACAAAGATATTACTGTAAAAACGCTATCATTTAACAAAGGATTATTCTTTTGTAGAGTCGACCGCAATCATAATTAATGTTTACGTCTCATTTTCTTTCTTTATCGGGAACAATTTGTTTGTATTGACATCATAATGAACGATGTGTAATTTGTTCATACAACTATTTGAAAAATTGGGTACTTATGACGTAGCGGCAGTGAACTATAGTTCCGACCAAAAATGGGCAGTAAACAATAATGTTAACTGTAAAATAGTGAGAGCTGTATATACCTTTTTCACTTTCTGTCCGTGCACACTGTCGGCTATCGTGAAACCGAAGCCCGCAGCGCCCCTTCGTAGAGTGAGGACCAACTCTCTACCTGGCTCGCTGCTTGTAACGTTGTTACTGCGATGTTGGTGATCTGAAAGTTGCACATTGACTTTTCTCGTTACGAATAAGCATTTGGTCAATGGATCTGGTTCACATTAACCTTTATCGTTATTACTAAGAATTTGGTCATTGGATCTACTCCACATAAACCTTTCTCATTATAACTAAGGATTTGGTCATTGGATTTAGTGCACATTAAACCTTCTCGTTATGACAAAACAATTGGTCATTGGATCTGGTCCACATTAAACCTTCTCGTTATGACAAAACAATTGGTCATTGGATCTGGTCCACATTAATCCTTAACGTACGACTAAGGATTTGGTCTTTAGATCTGGTCCACATTAATCTTTCTCGTTACGTCTAAGGATGTGGTCCACACTGACCTGAAGCGAGGGTGAGCAGGTGGTCGGCGGAGGGGCAGCGCGGCGGGGCGGCGGGCTCGTCGGCGGCCAGCTCGTCCAGGTCGAAGGAGCGCGACGTCAGCCTGCGCTGGCCGCCGGAGGGCTCCTCGCCCTGGAGCGGGGACTCGCCGCCAGGGGACTCCAGGTTGAATCTGGGGGGAGATTATTAGGTGAGAGTGGCGACGAGCTTGTCACTGGCAGTACCAGAGACGCGATGCTTCTGTTAGCGCGTATTAGACGGTTACCTCACAATATCGATTTACACATTCAATCCTGACCCCATTATAGCCATATGAATTACCTCGTTCTCAAGGCTCTGGTCAACTGCTGCATAGCGACGGCGTCCGAAGTCGGCGGCTGTGTAGCGTCCACTGCTAGAGTGCTGAGGACACGCGTATTGGGGTCCTCGGAGTCAAAAGAGAGTGGATAACCTGAAAAGTTTAATAGAAAAGTCAATTTATTTTTTAATATGTTGGTATAGAATATACTCTGTTGAACAACGCCCTGAAGTAGTTTTGCTTTAGGGCCGATCCGTTGTTGATATTGTTACAATTAAATTGTTTTAGAAAACATTACTTAAGCTAATCAAAAAACAAATGGGCCTGCACATAATAGCACCATTGAATTTCTAGACCAATGTACAAACCTCTGACGAGATGCAGCGTGACGTCAGTCCCGGGCGTGATGGACTGGAAGATCTGGGCGACCTGGGCGTGGGACAGGCCCCTCACCCCGCGGTTGCCCACCCCCACCACCACGTCGCCGGGCCGGAGAGCGCCTAGAATCGACAGAGCGACTTAGTCATGACGTCGATGCTCCCATGCTGCAGTTGCAAAGGCACTGGCTTTGGCACCGGGGGTCGTGGGTTCGATTCGCATCATCATTTCAGCCTGTTTGAGTCCACTGCTGAACATAGGCCTCCCCCATAGACTGCCACGCAGTACGATCCTGAGCCACCTGCATCCATCGATTCCCATACAACACATCTATTCGCGTTACCCAAAGATAATTGTTTCGCATCTGGACGTATGTCCACGTGAAAATTACGTATGTAATTATTCATATTATAGATAGTATAAAACAAAGTCGTCCCGCTTTCTGTCTGTCACTATGTATGCTTAGATCAGTGATTCTTAACCTTTTTTTTGTTGCGGCACATATTTAACGATTTTAAAATTTGGCGGCACACAAAGAAAAAGATAAAAATTATTTACTTACTACAACACACTACATAAATAGTTTATGACAAAAATTTTAAATATACGAAATAAACTAATATATACTACGAATAATATATACGCTATAAACTAATATATACGCGAAGAAATACAGACACAGTGTGCGTGTGCAGCAATTCAGCACATAAGCTCGGGATTCCCCGTGAGATGTGTACACAGCGCACGTGTTCAATCACAGTAGCATTTAGTAGAGTGCGATAAAAACAAAAAAAAAACTTATTTGGAAAACCGTGTAAAAGCGAAAACGTGTAAAAAACAAGTACCGTGTAAATCGGGGGATAGGTGTACTGCAAAGTTAATAAGTTTACAAATTTATAAATTGACACTACATGCAAATGAATTAATATTAAACCGAATCACATACATTTGCCAATTTTAACGAAAGAAAAGATGCACAAACTACTATGCAACACCTTGTGAATCCCAACTATCACTAAAACAACACGTTTTGTACGCAGAAGTGGCAAGTGTGCGTCGACTTGAGACATATTCCTATTGCTATGCACGCCGCTTCATCATAATTTGGCACTAAGAAAAAACGCGTTGCAAAGCAAATAATAAAATAATTTTTTTTTTGGATTTAAATATATATTCATGTTAAAAATATTTTTCTTTTTAAATGATATAATTATATATTTGCAAAATTTGGCGGCACACTTTTGAAATTTGATGGCACACAAAAGTGCCGCGGCACAGTGGTTGAGAATCACTGGCTTAGATCTTTAAAACTACGCAACGGATCTTGATGCCGTTTTTTTTTTAGCCAACGCTTCAGATAGAATATTGAAACCGTCCGTAAGACGTTTCGCTTCAAACACAAGTAATATTATTGCACTCCATTAGCCTGGCTCACGGAAACATTTCACGGGCGATCTGTCTACGTTCAACGATTCCAAAGTATGCAGATATCCGGGATGTTTACACGCAGTTAATGTAAATTTGCCAACGGGCTTATTTCTACGCCTACGGGGCCATTTGTTCGGAGTTAGTACACGAGCTCCGTTGAAAGTTCCAATCAGAGGTTCGAGATCGATTCTGGAGCTAGTGATTATGAGTCGAAACTTAACATATTCACATGTTGGATTCTCGAAATTTGAGAAAGAGCGAATTCCAAACTTTACAATTTCGTACATTTTCAAACAATTATTAATTTGGGAATTTTTTGACATGGTTTATGGGAATTATTACAAAGATCAAAAGTGCAGGCCACCTCATGGTTAGTGACCACGTCTATAGGCTGTATTCTTGATGTTCTGTAAACCGTAGCGATCCTGAACCACAGTTAATTCCCGCCTTTCTCCTTCACAAAACGTCAATAATGTTTTAAATCAACAATCAGAAACAACCAGGTCCAGAAAATTATCTGTGGGTTACACAAATACTTTCCCGTGTAGAATGAACCCGCAAGGACCGGCTCCAAAGCCGATAGCTCAGGAACTGTACCGCCACCGCGTCACCCCACAGTTAATTCCGCAGAGAAAAAGTTTGGCAACTTTATCCTCTTATATGTATATATGTATTTATTTACAATAATTACAACTATCATTGGAGGTTTCTCCAATATGGTAACGTTCTTAACATAATTAAATTAGTGGGAACCCATAGAACATATCAATTAATTAAGCAACTCTTATTAAACGCGACTTCATTGATACATTTTAAGATTTAATTTAGGCTCAATTTTTTGTTTCAGGAATTTTACATATCAAATCGCTGCAGACGGTAGGTCATTTGGCGACTTTCACTTGTCCTTCAGGCTATTAACAGTTTGTTTAACCGTGGCAGGGCCACGCAACAGTCTTCTCTGTTGCACGAATGGGCAGGTCCGTCCGGGTAGGTACCAAGACAGGACACCAGCGTGAAGTGGAAGTTTTATACCTTCTGCGTTTCGTCTGGTGAGTGAGGTAGCCGGGGACCACAGTTGGCAACGCAATACGGGTGTTGCAAACGTCAATGGGCGGCGGTTATCGGTTAAAATCAGGTGAACCGCCAACTCGTTTGCCAGCTTGTCACATAAAAAAAAAATGAACCGATTTATCTTTTTTTTTCTCACCATCTATCCAGGCAGGGCTGTGCGGCACTATGCTGCGTATCTGGAGGTATCCCTCCGTCTCGGGAATACCTTCTGCCCCGATAAGCGTGAAGCCCAATCCCTGAAATTTGACATTTTTAAGCGACCACGCCAGCAAGTGTTACAAACATAATATGTTACATATGTATAAAACATATGTATAAAATCTTCCGTCGTATGAAATTTGTTTTTCCTACTATGGCCACTGATACGTTTCAAAAATCGCTGTTTTTCCAATAACTTAGTACTTCGAGATCGACTAGGCTGAAGACATGGCAAGAATAAACTAATGTATCATCCCGACATACGTTGGTTGTTAACTAGAAGAGGGTCATTAAAATTTGTAGAAAAAGCAATGTCGATGAAAGACGTTAGCTTAGTGGTTAAAGCGTCTTGGTGCGAATTTGGAAAACGTATGTTCGATTCCCGCAGTGGGGAAATTTTCGTCCTTTTCTCTAAAAACGTCAATGTTTCATCTTGAGTGCAGAGATTGTCACTATAAAAAGGTTGAAAATTTCCTTAAAGAAGTCGTTTAAAAAAATGTATATTGTGTTATGTATTCTTTTTCTAGAAAGCTTATGACGATGATCTATCTGTTGACGTAGAAATATATAAGATGCGGATCAAAGCAATCACCTGTGTAAAAACTGTCGGTATAAATCTGCATAAAATAAAGTTAGAGGATGTATCTAAGAACAAGTTGTAAATAAAAGGTTTTGTCGGTGACTTGAAGTATTGTTCGATTACGGACTTGATGGTTTTGATATCCCTTTAAACGTTACTTTATATTTATAAACCATTTCCATTAGAAAGTAGCTTAATTTTTATTGCCGTTTTATTTGATATACCAACTAATATCGTTATAAAACTAACACCAAGCGCGGAGGTAATTAAGAGAAAGCAGAAGCAACATATATCTGTTCACGCCTTGTGAATCGATTATTAACGGCAACTTACGTAGTGCGGCTAGACAAGATTTGTATGGCTCATCAAACCACCTACAAAAGGAAAGTTATAAGAAAAGACGTTATATTACACACATATTACATGTACTTTATGCTGTAATACCGATGACTGATAAGTTTTAGGCTACTGTGAGTGGAAAAGAACATTCTAGAAGAATGTACACTGCGTATTTAGGTCTTAAACGAAGCTGGTATTCATAAGGGAATAATTTGGACATGACTGTATGAAAAGGAACAAGAAGTGTGCGTATTACAAAGTAAATCAATAGGTAACGAGTAGGACAGAATATGTATTATAAGTTGAACGAGTGAAACGACAAAGGTCACGAAAGAGACGACAACATGCAATGCAGTTTGCGTGTAGTTCGTCTCTTTCGTGCTATTTTTTCGTGGTCTATTGAAGCTCATACCTGAGTGCCCTTAGTCAGGGTGAGGGTGAATCTCTCGCCGCGGAGCTCCCCCGTTGGTGGGGGACCATTAGGCTGGCCGCTCCCCCCATTTTCAGCCGCCAGCTTTTCCGCTGGAAAACGTAATGCCATTAAAATTCATATCCTGCAACCTGATTTTGTTCTGTGTATCGATACTGGTACTGGTGTTTAGCATAGTTATAATAATAATTTTATGATTTTGTAGCCTTAAGTTTTTTCCAGAGGTTTGGTGTAATTTATAATAATATGTTGTGTTCGTGTAAACACTAAATTATAGTCGTAACAGTTTTTTTTTTTCAATTTTACTATAATTAAAAAACTATAGCTTGCTAGCTATCGTATAGTACTGAAAGGTTTTTTTAATGCATAATAATTTTCAAGACATATTTTAAACAACGTTATAACGTTATGTTTAAACAACGAAACGGCCATTGGTGGGATTTGATTTCCGAAAACAATTGTTTCTATATTTTTGAAGTTATCACACATTACTTCGGCGGGTCTAAGTTTGTTTCTTTGTATCACAAAACAGATAAATACTTTATCTTGTTGGGAATAAATTATTCCGTGTCATGATTTAGGAATCTCTCATAAAACCTGTGAGTCATTTATCCGGGTTCGATATCCTTTCTGTGCAAGGTTATACTTTATTTAAATGTATTTTAAAAAAGCCTTGATAGCTTTTAGTAAAATGTTTGTTGATGGTGAGATTTATTAGTCTACTATTCCCTAAAAAAAGTTATTTCTGATATAAGTATGCGCCCTCTAATGAACAAGTTATATTATCTGTTTTCTATATGTCAAACAAACCTAATAAATGGCAAAAAATACTAAGATTAAATTAAAATAACGGGTGCACACGGGTAGACATACCTGTATTATCCGAGTAAGTACCACGACCTCACAGAAGACCGGCGTAAAGTGCAAGTATAATACTTTTGCGTTTCGTCTGGTGAGAGAGGTGGCCGGAGCTCAATTTCCAAAAGGTTGTCAACGCATCTGGAACCCTCGGGTGTAGCAGATGTCCATGGGCGGTGGTATTCACTTAACATCAGGTGAACCGTCTGCTCGCTTGGCAACTTTTCAAATAAAAAAAGGAGTAGAAGTTATGTGAATTAAACCTTATATTAATATAAATATAGTTTCATTCAGATAGACCGACATTGCAAAGATTACTGTTTGTATCTCAGGTAAGGCCCAAACATGGCTTGCTCTGGTGGCAGCGATACGCGTGCGTCATTTAGGAAATAACCGAGACCAAGAGTTATATCTCTTAAACATTTTTGTAACAAAAATCAAAACCGACATCAAATAATACATTTACTATATTGAAGTGTGCAACAAAAGTCCTCACTATCTTGTCTTTGTTTGTTGATCTATTGCAGTTAGTACCAAGAGTAATCAGAATTTGAGGAATCTAACGTTTTGTTGAACTTCTACGACATGCAGGTTTCCTTGCGAAGTTTTCACTTAGCATTTAGCAAGCATTGGTCTTATAACTTGATTGGATCAAGTTAAACGATACTTAACACCTTTATCCGGCTAATACCCACTTATCTTCTGACAGCTCTATGTAACATTTAATACCTTAAGTACACATTCTCCTGATGCGTAACTAGAACAAAGTAATGTGGGTAGAACGGCCTATAGATAAGGGCATCAACTTTACCCAAATACGCCAAAGAACTACATATATAACTTATTACGTGCCTACATAAATACACCCGTTTTTTTATTAATTATTTATTACTAGATTGACCCGGCCACGCATCGCTGTACTTTTTTTTCTTTACCATTCGAACTTCGAAATAATAATTGTATAAAAACACTCTCTTAATATCAATATGATGACTCCGTGGCGTCGGGGGTAGTGGGTTCGATTCTCACACGGGAAAACTATTTGAGCGAGCCACAGACAGCCGTTTCGCATCTGGGTGTTTGTCCATGTGAAATTTATTTATATATATAAAACGTATCCTTATAACATAGGATAATGTTATCCTAACGTTAGGGCAATGTTTTTTTTAAAGCCATGTTGTGAACTAATAACAAGGCAAACCATCGGATCATTTGGAGTCTTGTGGACAAGTGCATGACATGGAAGTTACTTAAGCACTTTTTATTTATAATTACCTGACGCATCCTTTTCCTGCTTCTCTGAGCGCATTAAATAAAATAAAAACAAGGTATTAATTAAATTAATAAATTTAGATGGTTATTAATGAAATGAATAAACTCAGATGAAAAGATTCGTCGATGAAGCAACGAGTGTTTCATCTATTTCGAATGGTACAATCGTTGTTATGTTGTGAGGGGCTGCGTGTAGGAAGATCTTGCCACTTTAATACACTATTATAGCGTGAATCTACTGCCTTTTAAAAGCATGATATGCATTCCTAAACAAATTCTAGACAATTCTAACTGACGTGACATGTCTATTATTTAAAATTTATAAATATTTTTCTCATGAAAGAATGTGGATAACAAACAGGAGATACACCTGATGTTATGTTTTTGATGCTGCAATTTACATTACAATACTAGAGCGGTTGGAGAAGCGTGGCCAATGTTTAAGACCATGGGCACCGCTTACCACGCACAACGGACGGGACACCAAGATTTACGCCGGTCTTCTGTGTTGGTGGTACATCCTCGAACGAGCCTGCCCATTCGTACAGCAGACTGCCTTTTTTTAATGTAAGACTTGCCACCAGCAAGCGAGAGCTGGCGGTTGAACTGATGTTAAGTAATGTACATTTGCAACACCCGTAGGGTTGCAGACGCGTTGCCACCTCTAAAAAAAGTGGGCCCAGCCACCTCACTCACCAGACGAAACGCAGAAGTATTTTTTTATGTGAAAGTTGCCAAACGAGCAGACGGTTCACCTGATGTTAAGTGAAACCCGCTGCCCATGGACATCTGCCACACCCGAGGGTTACAGATGCGTTGACAACCTTTTGAAAATTGGGCTCCGGCTACCTCACTCAACAAACGCGAAAGTATTTGTCATACTTCCACTACGCTGGTCTTCTGTGAGGTCGTGGTACTTACCCGGACGGGCCTGCCCATTCGTGCAACAGCCGAGGCTGCTGCGTTGCCTTACCACAATTCAAAAAGTTGCTGATAATACCCCCTACACAGCTGCTGTGTGGCCCTACCACAGCAGTGGTACATATCTCAATTACAAAAGGGGACAAACGATAGTCAAACTGCAACAAACAATTTTTAAAAGCTACCCTAATGGCAAGGGCCTATTATAATGTCCAAGAATACATTGAGGATAAGGATGTGTGGAAATGACTCTTGCTCTGCATTTGCAGGACCCCTGGCTGCTGCTGGTTTTATACCTAAATAAGTTAGCAATTATATTGCATCACAAAAAAAATAACAAAAAATAGAACAAAACCGTTCTTGTCGGTTCTCTTGTCAGGTCTAGTTTAGTGAACCGGTGGTAGTTATTTTTTGACGTTCAATAAGAGTTTAAGTTAAGCCTATATTGCATAAAGATATTTTGACTTTGAACAAACATGCATAAAAGGAGAAGATGTGTTAATCCGCTTACCCCTCAATCTCCTAGCTTGCAACACGGGATTCTCGTACTGCGTGCGCCTGTTTATGTGGTCCACATAATAGGACCCGTAACGCTCATCCGTGACCCTCTCCCAACCGTAGGGTAGCTCGTCTTCTCCGCACTCGCCCAGCGAGTGCTTTCGGACCCGCGCCAACCTGGGGTCCAGCCAGTGCGAAGTGCCGGTGTTGTGGCTGCAACAAGAGACGGCTTTAGATCGGACGGTTTTTTATTGTGCGACTAAGTGCCAAACGAGCCGGCGGTTCACCTGATGTTAAGTGATAACCGCCACCCATGGACATGCACATTCACAACACCCATAGCTTTAAATAAAGTGGGCGCCGGCTACCTCACTCACCTGATGAAAAGCAGAAGTGTAACACTTATACTTTACGCCGGTCTTCTGTGAGGTCGTGGTACTTACCCGGACAGACCTGCCCATTCGTGCAACAGCGATCACCATTGCGTACCACAGTAAAACTAGAACAGTAATTGACAACAAACAATTTTTGGACCAGACATGACCTATTTGTCCCATGAACATGAACGTCGTGAACACAGGTTTGATAATTCGGCAATTAAAATTAAACAGTTTCATCTTCACTGGAATATTCAAAATATCTTTTGTGATATGAGAAACATTAACATCATCAAGCCTTTTTGAATGTTACACTCACCACTCGAAACGCAGTAGCCGCGGCTCACTTTATTTAAAGGTTTTTATTTCCCACCTACTACGGGTGTTGCAAAAGTTTATGGGCGGCGGTTTTCACATTACATAAGGTGAACCGTCAGCTTGTTTGCCACTTATTAAAAAAAAATCCACAGCTGAACATAGGCCTTCCCCATAACTGCCACAAAGCATGATCCTGAGCAACCTGCATTCATCGACTTCCCACATTTTTGCACAAGTTGTCACTCCATCTAGTCGGGGGTCGTCCTACACTGCGATAGTCGGTACAGGATATAAATGAAGTAAAATTAAGAATATGTTGAAAATTTTGTAACAAACCCTCCAATAAAACAATCTGGGCAAATAATTATCCAGTAATAATACTGATATAATGATAAAAGCTAAAATGTTTTGATGATTATTTATATACAAGTTTCATGTAACATTTACACCTGGTTTTCTGATCATTCTGATCATTAAGTTTAACAATCCTTTTGGCAACTCAAATAACATTTGAAAAGCCATTTGACAGTTGATTAGTTGACTTCTACAATGATCAGTGTTTCAGAAACCAGGCGTAAGTGTTAAAGTTGTTGAGTACTAGCTGGTTTTAATAAAGCAAAAAATTTAAACAAATAACAAGCAACATATTTAAAATAAATAGAGTAATAATATCATATACCTGTAACTAATAAAATAAATGTACTACTAAACATCAATACTGGAATGGTAGATTTTGTTGCAGATTTAATATATATTAATAGATAAAATAATTATCTTCTTAAGCGACTTTAAAAAAGGGGGAGGTTCTCAATTCAACTGTATTTTTTTTGTTTGTTACCTCAGAACCTTCGACCGTTCATGATTATTTGAATTTCACAACACCTGACCAGTAATTAGAAAAAATATTATTTGAAGTAAGGAAAAAACCTGTGCAATGTAACTTAAATGCATAATACATTATACAACAATATTCACAACTATGCTCACCGCTTCAGTTTTCTGCTGTAACATGAAAACATATTCCAAACACAGTTCTAAATATAAATGTCTATTACATGATGTGTACCCTACAAATATCTGCAGAGAACTGATTTCAGTTACTAGTCTAACAATGAATCTATATTTAGAACTTACAAATATTTACTCTCGGCTTCTTGAAGAGTAGGAGAAGTCTGCATTAGATCACTATTAAAAAGTTTATGAATTCAAAATAGTACAGTTTATAGTAACCTCTAGAGTAAATTGAGATAAGGCAACATCAACATATTTTCACTAAATCTTATATTGCCAAATAACTCATATTTTAATAATTATAAACATACTTTATTGCACACGGAGAACATGAAAACAGAAACTAGACTAAAAGTATATTATTTCCTTGGTTTAAGACATAGTCATGATCAAAAATGTTGTTTTTCATTGTATTCATAAACTATAACTTGAAATTTATCACTATGAGACTGTGGCAACTAAACAATTACATTTTAAATAAAAAAAAGAAAATCAAATTGTAAAAAAAGTTTTTACTTTAATCCTTTAATTAATTTATGGGAATATGTAACATTCATAGAAGTTTTAAATTCTTTCCGGCTTGTTCTTGTTCAAAACAAACAGATAAAATACAATGCCACTTTGGTCAATACCAATATTTGAAATAACAATAACATTTTATTATTGATATACTGGTAGTGATAACTACTACAAACGTTTATTTTTCTTTATTACACCACATAAAGGTAAGAATATTAGTATTATGTAAATAAAAACCAAAGAAGGTTTGATGCTTTCTTTAATCAACCCCCGTGTTTCTATGTTTTTATTAAAGGAAAGAACACATATTTTAATTATTGATGTATAAAATATAACATGTTTTCACTTACTCTATAAAATATCTTTCTCCCGATGGTGTAAATGCCTTTTCCCACATAGGAGGTAGAGGGCCAAGGTTATAATCATCTTCATCTTCTCTCTTATGACCTGGTTCTCCGGGTCTCACTCCTACAACAGAACCGCCAGCAGTACCAGCAGTTCCTGAGCTATAAGTTGATATCCCGGCTGAAGATAGTCTATCCGAATCTACTGAGCTCTGAGCCATTTCTTTTACAGTTAATAACATAGACACTCTAACATTGTATTAAAATTCCCACATGTTCCCGCCAATATTTAACAACTGAATTTGAAACTAGAACTCACAATAGTTAAATAATATCAAACACTATCGTATCACATTCTTTACACTTTACTCATCGAAATAAAAGACGTTTCGTAAAAACAAAACAATAGTGGCATGCGGGCGAGCCAATGACCACTTTATGAGTCATTTTGGGACCTGGTGACTCCTCAGTTTGATTATTTTTTACCTGTCCGAGTACAAATCGATCCACGTAGCTACTCTAACAGGATTTTCATTAGTTTGTCGATAGGTCCCATCATTGCACTGCACTTAATACTTTATTTCATTCGATGTCGCAGTAATCGACAACGATGTATCCGCACTGCAGGTGCATCAACGAACTATAACGTTAAAAACAACATGTATATCCCGCGTCAGTACGACTATGATAACGGTAAATTAGCTAACAAAATCGAAAACTTTACACTTATTTATGCTAATAAGACACAATACAAGTTCACTTTCTCACATAAACAGGTAAAATCTCAACTTTTTGAAAGTAGGTGCAACAAGTGAGTGAGTAGGACATCTAGCGCAGCGGCAGCGTCTATATACAGCTGTTCTTTGATTCTTTGAAACTATGCCTGCTTATGTATATAGATAATTATGCATGCATCGGATCGGACTATCTGTGTATTGTTTTGTTTTCTTTGCGTAGTAGGGATGAGAGGTTAAAGAGATGTGTTATCTGTGCTAATAAATTTAGTCTTGAATATCATGTGAACTATAAAAATCATTACCAAAATAAAGTGATTAATAATACAGTTCAATAATAATTATAATTCGTTGTATCTTCCATGTATTTCAATATTAATTTAAGTGAAATTCATATTTATAGATCTGCCCTCTACCGACAAATAGTCGTAATATTTCACGTAAGTGATTTACACTGTTTTATATATTTCGTACAAGATGGCAGTATTGCCGTTTGAGTAGAATAAAATAAAATAAAAATTGTTTCAGTTGAATGGTTGATATTCTGAGCCTTTCTTCAGCTACTCACAAAATAAGTATGTAAATCAATACTATAATAATTGTTGATTATATATTTGTTAAAGAGAGCAATGCTTAACAAATAAGGAAATAAATAATAATAATATTCTGAATAATGATATAGAATATTCTAATCGAAAGACGATGTAATGATATTTGTATTCTCTCTTAATTTCCCAAAATTTACTCGTAATAAACTGACAACACCGGCTAACTGGACTGACCTTTTTTTTTATTAACGTGCGCAAAATGCCTCCGTCGGACTTGCACCGACGAAAACCCCCACGATGTTCCACCTAGGCACATATCCGCAGGGTCACGGGAACTCCTTCGCACACTTCCGTGGCGGAAGTGGAATAGGGCGGGTATGCGTAGTCATTTCCTCCATGTTAGCAAAAATAAAAGGTTTGTCCGGGTAAGTACCTCACCGAAGACCGGCGCGAAGTGGAAGTGTTATTCACTAAATGGTGGCAACGTATCTGTTAATCTACTGGTGTTACACATGTCAATGGTAGGCGGTTATCACTTAAGATCAGGTGTAACGCCAGTTAACTTGCTACCTTCTAGTGCGAGTCGAACTCGCGCCAGAAGGGTTCTGTATCTATATAAATGGCAAAAAAATCATGTCAGTTGAATCAGACTCTGTTGTATAGGACCACTTAAATGTTTTTGTTGTTTTGTAGTATTTGTTGTTATCTGTATAAAATTTCAACTGTCTAACTATCACGGTTCATGAGATACGGCCTGACGACAGATGGACAGACAAGCAGACAGTCAGCGGAGTCTTAATAATAGGGTCTCGTTTTACCCTTTGGGTACGGAACCCTAAAACGAATCGGGGATTCCTAAGAATTTTCTATGAAAAAGCATCCATTAATATACATCAGCAGAAGCCGAGTAAAATCGTAGTAAAAAGTTATAAATATTTGTCATAATATATAACGTATAGTTGTGTAAATCAGTCAAGACATTTCACATTTTACGTCATTTTACTGGCTTAAGCCAACTGGCGAGGTTCAGTCGCCAAGCGCAGCAACACCCATTAAATTGTATCGAAATACTCGCCAAACGTCTCACGATTATCTTGGAAGATTTAAGCGGCTTGTTCCGCAAACTCGCTCAAATAAGCCTAACAGGGTGCGTTTACATTAAACTAATGTTTAATAATTCTAGAAATTTATTTCTTTCGTTTGTCTTTCAGTTTTTATTTGAGTCTCTCTTGAAAATCGACTATATCAAGATTGTTTAAGTTTTGCAAATTATTTAGTGATGTCTTGAGTATTAATTGTCGATTGCGTGAAGTATAGAATTTAACGCTCCAAATAATGCTTCAAAATTTGTTTATAAGTATTTCTTTTTTCCCGAATGTTGCCTTTACTTTAACATAGAAGGGAAATCGCAGCTTGGTGTTTTAACACGCGCTTTCCGCTTTCGTTTCCGCTTAAATACAACCAATACCTATGTCAGGTCGCAATAGTTCTCTCTGCATTAACACGTCCATTGGAAAGTATCAAAATGCCCAATATATTCCAAATTCCAACCTGTAACGCATATACATGTTACATGTGACAACAATACGTTAAGGACGTCATTTGGTTACATTAATGGAATGTCTACGTATCGAACGAAAATATCCGAATGGTCTATATCCGATGTAGAACGTTTTAAAACTTTAACGTTTTGAACGTTAGAAATCTAGCAATAAGGTCCCTTTTTGTGAAAAATCAGACAACGAATTATAATTATATAATGACTCCGTGGTGCAATTGCCAAGGTATTGCCTTCGGCGTCGGGGGTCGTGGGTACGATTCCCACACAGGACAACTATTTGTTCGACCCACAGATAGTTGTTTCGCATCTGGGTGTTTGTCCGCTTGAAGTTTATGTTTGTGAAACGATCATACAACACTGGATAGTGTTATCCAAAAGTGAGGGCAATGTTTAAAAGGAAATTAAACAAGAAAAAGAAAAACTGTAATATTTTATCAAGTTTGCTATACCTACTATTACTCAATAGTTGTTAGACACTTATTATGAGGATGAAATCATGGATGCATTCAAATAAATAAATCTTCTCTTCTCCCGCCTAAATGTGGGTGGCGAAATTGTTTTAGAGCGTAAAGATTTTAAGCAACAGAAGCTCTTGCGAGTAATGCAGTGTATTGCAGACATTTTTAAAACATATGAACGAAATTAATGCTAATTCATTAATTTAAATCATCTTTCCATCCATTTACTTTAAGATTTGTTGTGAGAGTTTTCCTCGTATAATTATATCAATGTATCCGATGATCGATGCCTCTCACGCAGATGTTTGACCCGAAAAGTTTTAATGCAAGATGCATAAGAATAAATGGAACGCTTTCAACGAATGCGTTTCCGTCTCAATTTTGCGCGCAATTCATTTCTTCAACAATCTGTACTTCTTTATCTTGAATTAACTAGTGTTCATAATTTATATGAATACCAAATCAAATCGGTGATTATTTTAAATGCATTGCGATGGACATATACAAAATATAACATCCTTTACGAATGACATTATACAGAAAAGAGAACCAAACTAAGGTAAAATATATGGGATACTAGCTTTTCGCCCGCGACTTCTCCCTTAAATAAATATCATCAAGATATTTTCTACCCTTTACAACATTTTTTTTCCAATTAAAAAATAGCCTAAGTCTTTTCTCAGGGTCTAGACTATCTGTGTACCAAATTTCATTTAAATCGGTTCAGTAGTTTTGCGTGAAAGCGAGAAAGACAGACAGAGTTACTTTATGATTTATAATATTAGTATAGATTATTCATACTGTTCAAAGTGATAAGGTATTATGGGCTAACATTTTTTAACAAAATGAAGGATAAAGCTGTGGTCTATGGAAAAAGATCGATGGCAGAATGTAGTGTTTCCATGGAGCATGAATTGAGACTATTATATTGTTCGATTTGCGACTAGTTAAGTGATCATGGGATAGTAATAAGCCGTGAAACCCTGGAATCTGTAACGCTTCAAATATTGGGGATGTCCATGGGTGGCGGTTATCACTTAACATCAGATGAAACGTCTGTTCGCTTGCCAACCTTTCAGCATTACTTTCAAAACCCAAGATCCTGACAATTGATTGTATGAATAGAGCGATTTATCTACTCATTTTATTAAAACACCTACTGAATTCTTAATCATTTAGTAACGACTCACAAAATCACATAGAATTGTTACGGTAGTTTAGTGTGGTTTGAAATACATGTTTGGTAACTGTCACATGACGATTTTTATCGCTCCCTATGTGTGATTATCGGTTCTTTTTTTTTTTTTTTGTTGACGTGGTGGAAATGCCTACGCATACCCGCCCTCGCGGGGGCAAGAGCGGCTTATGTCGGACTCGCACCGACTAAAACCCCCATGATGTTACGGCGCACCGGTGATTATCGGTTCCCTATGTGGATTATGCCCTAATCTAATATACAGAGGTGGCTAATACTTAGGCTATTACTTACTACCTTTGATTATAACTTTACTACCTCTGATTATATACTTACAAATATAATTATCATCAAACTAAATACCTTTATATTCAACGGTATCAATTCTGTTTGTTTTTCGAACCGTTTCAAAGATGTTCCTTACTACTTCAACCTAAGTATTTTTCCGTTTCATCCTTTCTACTCTGCTGTTTATTTAACTTCAAGCTGTTTTTAAATTCGTCGAACTAGGCTACGAGAATTTCGTTTGGTATGATACGAGATTACAGCCAATTGATCGTACTTAACGCATAGTTGCATTGCAGTTTCTGATGTGTGTGGGTGTAAAAGTGTTATGATTGTGAGTGAAAAAGTTATGTAAGGTTGAACTCAAAATGATACAAATTATACATTTACTTGCCGTAAATCACTACAGTATCCTCGAATTACTTTTAGTGAAAGGTTTA